CCAAGTTACCCATTGTGGTCAAGGGGGTCCCAATACCACTGTGGTCAAGGGGGTCCCAATTAACCACCACTGTGGTCAAGGGGGTCCCAATTAATCACTGTGGTAAAGGTTCGATGAGTAAAGTTCTTGATACAAAACATGCCTCTAGCCTATCATTTGTCCCTGCTAGATATCCTTTTCATGATTGTGCATGAATCTGGACTGTGAAGTAGACCAGTTTCATGCCAAGAAGGCACCAAACAATTTATAAGTCGGTATGCCAAGCCACCGTCTTCCCAGAAATACAACCACAAGACCTTGTCAGACAGATAACTCCCATCTGATTGTTATGAATTTGGTTGTCTGTCGATTTTCACCAACACTCACACGCAGACAATCTCACGCACGCCCATACATGCATAAGAAGAAGGGGAGAGGAGACAGAGTACACACTGCCCACAGACAGAGTGAGCAGCGGAAAACCACTATGCACAGGTGTGGAGATAACACTGAGTGTTCCTCACTCTCTGACAATACTCCCAACAACCAATCACAAGAAGACACCTGCGAGGATAACAAAAGAACAGTCCAAGATTGAGCCGATCCGAACCAATATCATTACAGAGTTTGTCTCAGTATCTCGCCGCTCACAGAACCACACACTCCACTCCCTAAGCTACACCCAGTTAGTAGCGCTACACAACATCAGCCTCCCAGAGGCCTGCTCAATCCGCCCAGATGAAGAACAGGAACTGCGATGTATCCTCAGTGCCGATGAGCAACTCTGATGAAGAAAGCTGCAGATATGGCTGCAGCGCCACTGTAGATGCCATGCACGATCTCAAAGGAAGATGCAGCAACAGTGGTCCTGGTCCACCCACGAACACCATGTACAGCCTCAGGATAGCCCAGCCGATTACAAGCACCCTCAGGGGTGGATGCTCAGAGGACGCCCCAGCTATGGCGAGCTCCAGGAGGCTGGCTATGGCTGCCGTCCACGATGAAGGTCTCAGGATGCCGCCTGTAGGCAATCGTCTTCACCGTACTTGCTTGGCTCAAAACGCTGTGATGCGAAAATGAAACCGCCCAACACAAGCGACCTAGTTCTATTAATAGACTAGCCTAGACCTAGACACGGACTGGACCGACCAGTACCGTTTCAGTTTGGGCCTCTAGGGCCTCTACCTACCCGGCTATAGGCTCTCATGCTACAGGCCTAGGCCCTAGGGCCTCCCGTCCTAGTGATAGCCCGGGCCTGCTATTCGCAGTGCGGTGTAAGGGAACTGCGGGCCTGTAATTTTCCAGAAATTACAGATATGTCCCTCATGAATTTCCCTCAACAGTGAACTCTCGGTTAGTCCCTGACACAAACAAAATTACGAATCTAACCCTACCGCTATTACTGTACAGCCTCGCAGTCAGATCTCGGCAGGCAAAATCAGCAAGTCATTGCATGATTCCGGAACCGTCAAATTGATCCCTCCCCCTCTCCTCCCCCCCCCCCCCCCCCCCCCCCCCCCCCCCCCCCCCCCCCCTCTGGAAAAGAAGTGTCAGTCATCAACGCAGACATGGCATAACTAAGTTCCTGATCGACTCGTTCAAACTGTTCAGACTGGACATGGTGATCAGAACGATGCTCTAGGAAAAACAGAAATGAGACGGGAGAGTGGGGGAAGAAGAGGGAGGAGGGAGAGGAAGGGAGAAGGGGGGAGGAGAGGGAGGGGGAGGGAGAAGAGGGGAAGAGGGGAAGAGAGGGAAAAGATGGAATGAGAGGACAAAGAGAGGAGGGTAGGGAGGAAAGGGAGGGGAGAGCATGGAAGAGTAGCAGGGAAGAGGAAAGAGAATGGAAGAGAGAGAGGGAAGGGGGGAGCGGGAGGACAGAAGGGGAAAGAGGGACGGAGGGAAGGAGAGAGAGAAAACCAGAGAGAGCGAGAGCACAGGAGAGACCAAGGGAAATGGCAGGAACGAGGGAAGAGACAAGAAGTCTGAGCGGGTAGGCAGGAGGGAGGGAGAGGGAGGGAGGGAAGGGAGAGAGGGAGGGAAGGAAGGAAGGGAGAGAGGGAGGGAAGGAGGGAAGGGGAGGGTAGGAAACAAGGGAGGAGGAAGAAGCAAGGAGAGGAGAGAGGGAGAGAAAGCAAAGAAAGAAAAGGGAGAGGGGGAAAGAGAGGCTACAGGAGCGGTAGAGGGGAAGGAAAGGGGGAGAGGGGCATGGAGCCTGCAGCATACAAACAAACAAGAACACAGAGTAATGAGACACAACCAAGCTGGAAATGCAATCAAGGACGTAGAGGGGGTATAACACGCCGCACCTGTTCCAGCATGATGAAGGTGCTCTGCCCAGAGTGTCGGGACAGGCGCTGTCCACTCCAACAGGGAGAGACCCATTGCTTTTGCAAGCACTCTAATGACCGCCTACTGCCAGCACAGCAAATGACAAGAAAAAGTCACCCATAGCATGACACATGAACCCTCAGTCCGGGAATAAAGAAGCAAACGGGGTTGCTCTACTCTCCCCTGTCATGCCTAGAAGGGGGAGAGTACAGGAAGACTCGTCGGACACTTCCCGAGACAAATATATATATAATATATATATCTCGTCAAATATATATACATAACACATATATATCGTCAAATAGAACTGCCCGGTAAACCGTAGGCAGAGAGGGAGAAGAGGACAACAAACGAGGGGCTGTGACAAACTGTTTCATCGGAGTTTCACCGACTCATCAGGAGGATATAAATTCAATGTTTGAAATTTATAAGACGAAACATTGGGTTCAGCCTCCTGATAAGCCGGTGAAACTCCGACAAAACAGTTTGTCACAGTCCCTCGTTTGTTGTCCTTTTCTACCTCTCTGCCGACGGTTTACCGGGCAGTTCTGTTTGATGATATATAATTATATAGAACTGCCCGGTAAACCATAGGCAGAGAGAGAGAAGAAGACAACAAACGAGGGGCTGTGACAAACTGTTTCGTCGGAGTTTCACCGACTTGCGGCGCATCGACATGCGCTGCACCCTGCACACGCGCCGTACCGCGCACAGCGCACGACGCGCGGGCATCGGGTGCGGCGCACCCCGAAAATAGGGGGTCGACAAAAAAAAAAAAAGTTCCGGAGGGGTGTTCCAGGCCCTGCTCGGACGTCGCGCCACGAAACAAAAAAAAAAAAGAACAATATTTTGAGGCCGCGCGGGGCCTCTGAAGAAAAAGGGGGGGGGGCAGCTGAAAAAAGTAGGTTTTTTAAGTTTTGAATTCGAAGTGCTCCCCCCCGCTTGTGCCCTTCGCGCCCGCCGTGCGTTGCCGTCGCGTGCTTGCCTCCTCGTTTCCTGTGCAGCAGCAGCATTCCAGGGCGCCGTCGTCCAGCCATAGCCAGGGCACAGCACTCGTCGTCGAGGAGCCGAAGGGGCAGCAGCAGGAGCGCTTGTCGGCTCGTGGGGTTGCCAGGTGGGTAACCACCAGTCCCTCTCTCTCTCCCCTCCTCTCTCTCTCTCTCTCTCTCTCTCTCTCTCTCTCTCTCTCTCTCTCTCTCTCTC